TAGCACAAAGCCAACTTCCTCTAAACTGAAAGGTATGCTGCATTACAAAGTGTCTGGGGACTCAGCAATCAAGGCCCTAAGTGAAAACTGGGTATGGTTGGTAGGTGGTACTGAACCGTAAATACTGACAGACACAAAATCCTCATAAACTTCTGAATATCTGTGACCAACTTTGTTTTAAAGAATACACTTGAAATTGCAGCCTAGTGAGATAAGCCCAAGAAAAGTTTGTTTCCTTTTGCAAAACATCTGCTTTAGGGCAGAGAGACCAGAAAGTTCTATGCATATTTGATCCTATTCAGAACAGACCAGTCCGACATACAACAGACTGCAGTGCTTCTGACACTATTGAATGAATTCACAGAATGGCTCTCACACGCTCTTTGAGACTCGCAGACAGATTCAGACATCATAGAGAACTAAAGAGTAGTGAAACTCCTACCCAGCAGAGTACAAAATAGTTTACTAAAAAAACCTTTACATGTGGAAATATGGGGACTCTGTGATAGTAAAACTGTTGAACTTATTGATTCATCAGTGTGGCTCTTAAGTAGTATGTATGTGCACAGATGTTAAAAAACAAAAATAAATCAATAGAATGCAAACCAGCTTGAAAAATTCTATAGTGTTCTCTATATTTGACTTGTTAACCAACATATCAGATACCTTTGTGATGAGAATGTTGTTGTTATATGACATTTGTAAAAGCTGCAGGATTTCTCAGTAATATACATACGCCCTTCAAATGTGCTTCAGGAGCCCTGTGCTTCAAAGAACGACACAAGACTTTCAAGACCAACATGACTACAACCAACACCCCATAAACATGATTTTCAAAGCATTTCCAAAATAAAGCTTTCTGGAAAACATACATAAAATAGAGCAAATCAGGAAGGACATAATACAACTGTACGAAGGTAACACAGATGCTAAGACATCCTGGGCTCAATGTGAAATGTAAAAAATGCCAGCTCAATGCACAATCCACCTACTTAGAACACAGTAGCACAGCTGAAGGAATCCAGCTAGAATCTGATTTACAGACAGCCCCTGTGGAAACACCTGTCCCAGATGAAACGGATAAACTATGTTCATTCTTGGGCTTATATGATATTATTCCAATTTCATGGTATACTCTGCCACAAATTTAGCATTGTAAAGAAATGTTTAAAGACAAGAATGCGGGAGACATGAGATAAAAACAAGTTTTCAGCTGTTTCAGCTAAATGTTGTACAAATAGTCCAGCCTTGGCGGTTGGTGGAGGAAGCGGAATTCAGTCCAGACAGAAAAATGGTACCTATTCCAATCAAAAGTCAATGGAACTTAATGGAAAGATTTGACTTCACTGGGCATCAGAATAGACCTCTATGGTGCTACAAACTGAGTTCTGTTCTTACCTAGGTCATTCATAAAGCCATAGGAATTACAACTGAATTTGCCATGATTCTTAAGGAATACATTCATAAGTTGTCAAATGTAGGAATTTGGAAAATTAGGAAAAAGAAAGGTCATATTCTAGCCTTTATGCTTGGAGGATGATTAAAACATTAGCCTACAATTTAAGAAACCTGGGCTCAAATCCCTGCTTTGGAATAGACTCTCTGTGGGCTACTGGAGAAACCACTCACAGAAAAAAATTTCAAAACATACCTAAGTGATTTAGGAGCCTCTTTAGAAGTGATATAGGTACTTAGGAGCCTAAGTCTCATGAAAACAAGGACTATGTTTATAAAGGTATTTGGGCATCCAAAGATACAGATAATTGCTTCATGGGATTTTCCAAAATACCTAAGTACCTACCTCCCATTAATTTTAGGGATGTGAGAATAAATCCAGTAATTTATGTGATGTGTCCTCATGCTACGGTTATGGGTGCTACCAAAACCCCTATGTATACATGCACTCATTGAGCATACAAGGAACCCTATGCTAAGTTTTTTTTTGCTCATGCTGATTAATGCAAATCAGGTGTTTAATAAGATGCTGATTTGATCAAGGATGAGGCCCCTGATTTTGTACATGTTAATGAAACTTGGGCCATTTGCTACACCACAGCAGACTCCAGCTGTGTTTTTAGCATTGCACAGCTGAAGGGGGATTGATCCATATCTGGCAAGTGTGGCTGTTCCCTTAGCAACCTGGTTGGAAATATAGGAAATCTCCTATCCAGAATCTGGGCTGTATGTGTGTCCATCTTGCAGTAGAATTTAAGGATGGAGGTAAGAAGGGGCTACTGTTTGTGTACCTATCACCCTGCTGCATTGTAAAATCACTATGAGAATTGGTGAACCTCCTATGAAGTGGTTTGGGAATCTGTGGTGTTCAGGAAGACCAGGTGCCCAACAGAGGTGCTTTTTTCAATGTCTCAGTTACAGCTGCCTCTGTCACAGACTATGAACGGCCTAAGGGTATAGTTCTCCACCAAGTTCTTGATGCTGACAGTGCCAGATGACTTCAGTATCCATGCCAAGTGGTCTTCTTCTGAGGATTTCACGGCCACCAAGGTGACCATGGAACTATTGCAAGAGGTTCTTGGCTCACTCATGCAGTTAGGCAATGCATGCTCTTGATCTTGTGCTTGAGCTGGGACTAAAGATTTGGACAGATCATTACCTCCTACTGTTTGAGAGTGGAACATACCTTTCCTGTTTGGGGTTTCTGGGTCTGCTCTCAGAAACTGATGAAATGAATGAATAGCCAGGGGATTTTGAGGAGAATACTATACTTCCAAAAGCCCATCCATAGATGGTTTGGTACAGCTTTATAATAGTTTTTGTCCTCTACTCTTCATGAAGCTGCCAGCACTTCCCCAGTTTTTCCCTTCCGAGTAAATGGGGTATGGTTGCTCCATGATGAACAAAGCAGAAGGGAAGACAGATGAGATACTGGTGATGGAATTTACAAATATTTCTAAGTGTCAGTCAGCAGATCTGGCCTGATTCATCTAAGCTGTCTTCCTTTACTGGCTTGTAAGAGTCCACCTTATTGGGAAATTTGGCATTACTTCACAGGTAAACCATAGTTGGTGTGGACTGATCTGCCTGCTTCTGAGTGCTAGGTACTGTCTTGAGGAGGAGACAAGATGTTTCCTACGCTTGAACGTAAGCAAATGTTACTCAAGGAACTCAGATAATTCCACCTCACTTCCCATTGAATAGTACCTTGGGCAGGGCCTGAATCTCCAGAGAGTGGAAATGAAGGTGACATGGTGTGGTCCAAAACTGAGAGAAACTTCTTCACAGCTTTTAAAGTTGTTGTCAAAACTCACACTTTCTCTGGCCATCAAATGTGAGCCACAGCAATCTAGACACAACAATTTTGTTCTAGTATC